GTGAGCCCAAAAGCTAAGAGATGAAGCTTTGTGGACCTTATTCCAACCGGGGGCGGGGGGGTTGGGGGGGTGGGCAGAACCGAATTGCATGGGTGTGAAGTGTAAGCTCAGGGAAGCCTGAGGCCAGAAGGGCAATCTGGGGTCTTATATCCAGATTGGAGATCACAAGAAATAGGATTTTAGAGCTAGGACAGACGTTAGCTATCATCTAATATAATATGCTCATTTACAACTGCAGAAACCAAAGCCAGAGGAGGCAAATTGACTTGTGTAGGCTCTGGAGTCAGAATGCCTGGATTTGTCTCTCTGCTCTGCTACTTAGTAACACCGGACCATAAGTAGATGCCTTACCTGCTCCGAGTCTCATTTTCCTCTCTGAAAGGGAAAAACAGCATTTAACTTACATGCTTCTTGTGTGGATCAAACCAGATAATCCACATAAAGCACTTAGCACAGTACTTAACACATAATAAAAGCTCAATAAATGTTACTTTTTGATAGTACTATAATTATTATCATGATTGAACTAGTTAGTGACAGAGCTATGACAAGGTCTCAGATCTCCTGACTCAAGCTAGTGCTCTTTTCACTGTATTGGACTAACTTTCAGGGTCCAGAAAAGACTAAGAGTTGCCTTGAACTTAGTAGGGGTAGCAACTCAAATCTACTTGGGGCTAAACCTAAAGACTTTAGTCTGGGGTCCACTTTATGTAAAAGCACCCAGCCCGGTGTCTGGAAAACAGTAGGCTCTTTTTTTTTTTTTTTTTAAGATTTTATTTATTTGACAGAGAGAGAGAGAACGAGAGCACAAGCAGGGGGAGCTGCAGAGGAAGAGAGAGAAGCCGACTCCCCACTGAGCAGGGAGCCTGCCACACCACGGGGCTCGCTCCGGGGCTCCATCCCAGGACCCTGGGATCATAACCTGAGCCGAAGGCAGATGCTTAACCTACTGAGCCCCCCAGGTGCCCCTAAAACAGTAGGCTCTTAAGAAAGGTTTATTAACTGAGAAGATTTTTTAAAACAACGACAGGATTGGGAGGGTGGTGCTGGCTTCTAAGAGAAGGACTAGGAATCTTTCACAGAGTCACATAAAGAAGGACTTAAGGAAGAGGGCTACCAAAACTATGTACATTCCATGCATGTCTGTGAAGACCAGAGACAAGTAGTGGTGGTGCTCTCTGAGATTCCTGGAACTTTCTCATTGTCATTTTTGTTAACCCTTTCTTCTTTCCCCGTAGTTACTGGCAAAAACTCCTATACAGACACTATAGGGAGGGTTGGGTGATTTTTCAGAGCTGGGCAGGATAAGAAAAAAGTGGGGAAATAGCTATCCCGATTCAAATTAATAAAGCCGATTTGGCAGCAGGGTTGGGGGGGTGGCACCCAGGTAGAAAAGTGGGTGGTGGCAGTGAAGGCGGCAAGAGAGTCAGACCCCTCTACGGTCTTGAAGAGGAAAAAAAGAAAAACAAGTTGTGAATGGGAAGCCAGTTAAGACCATGAACTCTGGGGTTGCAACTGGGGAAAAAGCCTGCCTCCCCACCCCACCCATATCTTGCCATATCTGTTCATAATTTATTACTACAGTCTGTTTTTTGGGGGCCTCCTGTTAGTCCTTTTTTCTGACCAATATCTTTTCTATTTTCCAAGGCTACCTTGCTAACTCTATCCCTTGACTAATGTATATTCTAACACTCCCACAGTAATAAAGTGAATAACCTTGACCTCTCCGGATACGTGTTTTAAAGTAGCAGTGTTTTTACTATTCCACAGATCCTTTAACTCACCCTCCTAAATCATCTGGTCCTATGGGTTATGGTCATTTTCGTCTTTCTAGGATTTCAAGGTATACTCTCATCTCAACCCTAAAGACTCAATAAGTATTTGTTGATTGATTTCAGAGTTTATAATCTAGTTGGGGAGACAATATGCCCTCATGAAATGAAAAGCTATGTAACCGCCAGCACAAAATTAAAGAATACAAACTGAGTTCATAGAGGTTCAAGAGACGGAAAGCAGATGAGTGATCCGTCAGGTTGGGCTAGTCAGGGAAAGCTTCAAGAGCACCTAAGTTTCGAGCTTTGAATTGGAAATTTAAGGAGGTGATGGACATGAGTTGGTGGAGAGGTGGACCTTTTGAAAGAAATGCACAAGGGAGACAATGCAAGATATCATTCAAGCCAGGACAGGTGCCTGCCCCACCCTGCCATTTCTCTGTCTCAGCAGCTCTGCATGATCTGTCACCACACCTATTTCAGTTCAAAGAGAGCTCCTTGTGACCTAGTGCCCACCAGGCGCTCTCTTGTATCAGATTCACTTACCATGCACGCCAGGCTGTGCTGCAGGACGAAGAGGCATATATGCAGGAAATGTTTGCAGGCATTGTGAGCAACTGTGCCCCATCTCTCAAGTCTGGACCTCAGATAGGAATACATGGTCTTCTATTTACCCTCTTCATGACAGATGGAGCATACATGCAGTCTGGAGGAGAAGGAGGCAGGAATGTGTAGCACCAAGATGGTTATGTTACCATGAGCAGACTAATATCACTTTGAAGGCCCAGTGTCCTGCCACCTCTGAAAAATGCCGAGTTGTATAGCTGTCCTTCCTGACAAGGAGGAAGGCATCATCATCACGTAGCACATATCAAGCCACACTGCTAGGCACTATACAGACAAGTTAAATTATAGTCCCTGCCCCTAGGAGTTCGCTGTCTAACAGGAAAACCAAGGCACGGCCAGACAGAAAGTACCCACCATACGTTTACTAAAAAGTTGTCAAATGTACAAATGTAATGCCATTCAATTCCTGATCCCATTCATTCTACCAGCATTTCTCGAATCGGACCTCAGGCTAGGGTCACAGAGATACGTAAACCTTGCCCCTGTCCCCAAGGAGTTCGGTTTAGTGGAGGAGACATACATGTAAAGAAATCATTACAGTACCATATGGTTTATGCTGTATAACACAAGCCTGCACAAAGTTCTTGGAAACGCAGAAAAGGGAGAAGTCCACCTAAGGGGAACAAGAAAGGCTGAATAGGAATTTTCCAAGGTAAGAGGCTTGGGGAGGGGATGATGAGAGGGAGGACATCCCAGGAGGTGGAGGGAAAGGTAGAAAAGGGCACGACATTTCCCGGAAATAGTACAAAACTCCGACTGGTTGGAATTTAGTGTGCCTAGTGAAAGATGAAGCAGGAAAGGTGGGAAGTGGCCTGAACCTGAAGAGACGCGTGTACCTTGCTTGAGAGTCTGAACTTTACCACATAGGCAATAGGGAAAATCAAAGGACGTTTCAAGCAGGGAAATTCTCTGGTCACATGTAAGTGATATGATCCCAGTTCTCCTGCCTCCTAGCTGTGACTCTGGGAATGGCACTGAATTTCTGAGCATTCGTGTTTTCATGCATAAAATGGGGTTGATAGCAGTACCTACCGTACAGGGTTGATTTGAGGAGTAAATGAGCTAATGTATGTAAAGCAATCAGCACAGCGCCGGGCACATAATAAGTGCTCCATACGTTTTAGCTACTATTACCAGGAGTGTTTCTTACAAGGGTAACTTTGTTGGCAGCACGGAACATAAACCACGGTGAGGAAAAGACTGATGGCAGGAGGTCCGACTAAGATGATATGGCAACTTAATCCAGTGATAAATAAAGTCTGGACTGGGATCTGGACGGGAGAAGCTAAAGAGATGAAAAGGCGAGAGGGAAGTCTAGCTTGGAGGACTGGGCAGATCAGGACAACTGGTAACCAAATTCAAGATAAGGGTAGCCAGAGTATAGGGGTGTGGGTGCAAGAGCAGATAATGCGTTCCGTTTGGGACCTGTTGCATGAGAAGCGAAGCCGCCCAAGATGGGAACCTGGAGAATATCAGTATTTCAGGGGAGGCCAGAGGAGCCAGTGGAGAAAACTGATTGGTCAGCGATCGCACTGTCACCGTGAATTGCGTACGGGGGCTTGAGGTGGGTAGAGGAGACACTATCGCCAGCATTTGTTTATGTTGCACAAGCCCTTCGCCCAACTCCCGAACCTGCATACAGCCTATTTTCTAGTCCGTTCTCGGCTTCTTGCCTCTCGGTTTTCTGCTTCTTGTAGAGACCGCATTTTTCCCTCCTGCCCGCCGTTCACGGAAAGACGGAGAAAGGTCTAGCGCCTCTCAACACGGTCACCGAGGCGACCCGGAGTCACACGGGAGGAGGTGGGAAAGGGGGGGAAAGGAGGAAAATGACTTTTAAAGAAAAGAAAAAGTCCGAGACGACCTCTAATAATTAAAGTTCCACCTCCCTATATCCTGCCACGCCGCTCTCCAGCCGCCCTTATCGGGCTCCTGGCCGCGAAGTAGGACGGGAAATGTAGTCCCCTAAGGCAGACCAGGGTGGCACGACTGAAGAACTCGGTTTCCCAACTGGCTCTCCAGGCGCGTGCGCAGATGGCTGCCCCGGCGAGTGGTAAACAGAGACGTCAGGCGGGGGCTGCTGCTCGGAGCAAAACAAAAAGGGAACCCGGGGGTGGGGGGTGGGGGGGGGCCGATAGGGGAATTGGTGCAGGAATAAGGGAGGCTGGGGCCGCTGGGCCGCGGGCCCTATTAAGAGTGGAGGGCAGGGAAGAGGCGGGGGGGGGGGCAGCTAGGGGAGGGGCAAGTGACGCGGGGGAGCGGGGCGTGGGGGAGGGCAGTGATCCGGGTGGAGGAAATTTGGGAGGAGTGTCCGGGGGGCAGCAACTTAAAAGGGGGAGGGAACTGCGGCTAAGGAGACGTTCGGTGATGGGAGCGCAATGTATGAGGGGATACCGTGCCTCAGGTTTAAAAGAGCAGGAAGCTGAGTGAGAGGTTGGAGAAAAAGTGTCTTCGCCAGGCGGAGGTTACAGGTGGTGTCTCGGAAAGAGCTCCGAGGCTGTCCGCTTGTAGTCGAGAAGAGGATCAGAGAACTGTGTAGAAGGGACAGCTTGGGGGCTAGCGTCCTGGGGCGAGGGGGAAGTTCGCGACTTTCTGAGGACTGGCAGGAATGTGCCTCCTGGCCCTCGGTGCTTCCCCCCTGGGGGGAGGCATCGCGAGGGACGGTGGCAGGCTCCTCTGAAAGCTGAGCGGCGGAGGTCCAACTCCACGTATGGATCCAAGGAATGAGAATTCAGCCACAGAGGCTGCCGCGATCATAGACCTCGATCCCGACTTCGAACCCCAGAGCCGTCCCCGCTCCTGCACCTGGCCCCTTCCCCGACCAGAGCTCGCTAGTGAGCCTTCTGAGCCGCCTGAGCCGCCCGAGGTGGAGCCAGGTCTGGGAGAGAAGGTACACACGGAGGGGCACTCAGAGCCGACCCTGTTGCCCTCCCAGCTCCCAGAGCCGGCAGGGGGCCCCCAGCCCGGGATCCTGGGGGCTGTAACAGGTCCTCGGAAGGGAGGCTCCCGCCGGAATGCCTGGGGAAATCAGTCATATGCAGAACTCATCAGCCAAGCCATTGAAAGCGCCCCCGAGAAGCGACTGACACTCGCCCAGATCTATGAGTGGATGGTCCGCACTGTGCCCTACTTCAAGGACAAGGGTGACAGCAACAGCTCAGCAGGATGGAAGGTAACTATGACCCCCTTACCTCTGTCCCAATACCATCTGCCCCTGGGCCCCCTAGCCTCCTTACTGCCGTTCTGGGGCCACCTTTTATGCCCCTACCCCAGAGATCCACCTTCAAATCATCAATTACACAAACATTTACTTAGGACATAGTATATGCCACTGCTCAGTGCTTGATGCTGGAGGATCGCAGATGAATAAGACACTGTCCTTGCCTTGGAGAAAATTGAATTCTCTGCTCACTGCTCAACACTCCCAGCACTTCGGCTTGAGCTGCCCCAGACACTTATTTCCACAGAGAAGTCTTTATCCTATGTACAGCAGGAACTGTGTGGATTCCCCACATGAACCTAGCCTTCCTTCCTCCCCCACCTCCCACCCCAACACCTTTTCTCCCATTCCTGTGGGATTACTTGGATTCCCCACTTGCCTCTCAATACCTTAGGGTAGAGGTACTGTTCTAGAGGACGCCTCTACCCAAGAAGAGGGGGTAGAGTGGCAGAGGTGAAAAAAGGTGATATTCCTGGGGTAAAGTAGCTGCTCTTATGGACCAGGAGGAAAAAAAGGGCCATGAGCTGCTACCTGCCTCAGTTTACCCTGTAGTGCTAGGAAACTGTCCCTAGCAAGGGGCTATCTAAGTCTGGGGTGGCGGGGGCCAGGGGAGAGTTTTCATTTACTGTTGAGGAATAATAGTTACGAAAAAAAGAGCTAGGGATCTGACTTTGGAGCACAAGGTTGGGAGTTCCCTTTGCCTTCCATGAAGAAACTGGGAAGAAAGAGCTTGCTAGATGCTCTGAAAACTTGTCCTGAGGAATATGGGACTCTAATCACAAAATGGGGAGCTTCAGCCCCTTGGCATCTTGCACCCCCGTAGGTGGTGAGATCAGCGTACAAGGAAGTAGAGAGGGTTGAATGAGCAGAGGGTCCTCCCCTAGGTCTAGGAGATCGAGTGATCAGATCTGCAGTATCCCCAGGAGCTGGGCCGGACAGAAAACAGGACAGCTGACTGAGACCCTTGGCACTATTTCTGGGTAGACTGCCACGCCACAGTCTCAGCTCATAAAGAGCTCCCCTCCTTGGACCCAGCCTACACAGCTGTTTTTTCTTTTCCCTTAGGTTCATTTTCCAGGGTAGAAGAAATAATCGTGAGTTGTTAGTTATGCAGTGGGAGTGTAGTCCCTCCTTATAATTTACACTTATTTGCGGAGTTTTCGTCTACAAAGTAGTTTTTAAGTTTTGTTTTGTTTTGTTTTATTAATCTTCACAGCAATTGTGAGACTTCACATTTTACGTGTTGGGAAACTAAGGTACAGAAAGGACAGGAACCTCGCCTGGTATCCGTAGAGCAAGGACTTGAACTCAGGTCTAACTAGAAATCATATCCTCTTTCTGCTAGTCCCTGCTGCCAAATTCTCTTCACTTGAATGACGGCGAAGCCAAATCAGGCTGAGCTTGGGGCCTCCCAGCCTCTCATCCCCCATCCCCACCCCCGCCCCACTCCAAGGGCTAAGCCTTGGGGGGCCCTGAACTGGCTCCTCTGGTGGTGGGCCAGAAGTACTCCCACCCCACCAGGGGGTGGCACTCACTAAGAACAAGAAAGCTTTGTTTGGGTGGCTTGGGGGAACAATTAGGAGTCACCCCCCCCACTCCGCTTCCAACAGGTAGGCATTATAGGCTTCTAGGGAGCTGACCTCTCCAGGTAGGACATTGTCCTATGTACTAGTTCTGAGGTCTAAAGAAGAGGGGTTAACCAAATGGGCCCCTTGGGTATTGAGTGTAGAGAGAGGAATGGAGCTTCTCAGTAGAGCCAGAGCTGACGGATGAACTGGGGGGGGGGTGGGAATCTCAGTGCCAGAAGTCACGGGGGCGCTCAGTTACTGAGGCTGGACAGTTACTGTCTAGATGGACAAGTTTCCATTCCCTTCAAGGAACGAGGAGTACCAATGCAGCCAGGGTAGTAGCCGTTACTGAAGGGTCCCAGGGAGACAAGGAGTTCTCTGGCTAAAGAACTCTGGAACAAGAAGCTACTTGAGCATCTTTCCCCAGGCACAGGGTCTCCTTATCTGGAGCACCAGTCAGAGCCTCAGCCTCCTAGTAGTTCCAAGCCCTCCTGGGCTCCTCCCAAGTTTCTAAACACCAAAGAGCTCCTTGTGGGAGGTCAAATGCCCCTAAGGTTGCAGATCTTAGGCACAAATTCCTGAGGGGAAGTAGGGGAAAGGAGGTAGGACAGGGAAGGGATGTGGGGGGCGGGGACACAAAAGGATGGTGTAACTAGCCTGGGGCAACCAGTAGAAAGAAGCTGCTCTGGGGGCTCAAGAAGCTGCCAATCTCAGCTCCCTGGGCCCCTGGGAAAAAACTTATCTCTAGCGGAATATCAGCAATGAGGGAGGAAGGGAGAACAGAGGGAGGGAAGGAGGAAGGGAGGGAGGACACGGAGCTTCCAATACCCAAGGCTCTCCAAAGCTGATAGAGCCTCAAGGGCAGGCTCACTATTGTCACCCCAGGGCCACTCACCAATAAGGCGACAAAGTACTGATTATGTCCTGGGAGCTTGGCACTCTGAGGGGGCGCCGTTGAGGGCTGCCTGACTGGACAACATGATCTGTGCCATGGGCGCTTATACTCGATGAGACTAATTACGTGAAGTTGTAAATAATACAATATAGATTGGGTCAGATTGTGTGGAACAGATTAAAAATACCATATGAGAGATTTGGCTGCAGAAGTCAAGCAACCACTTAATAGAAGGGAGGGAACTTACGCTTGGTCTCGAGGAACTAGCAGAATTTACAGAAGGGAGATCCTTCCTAGGATGAGGAGGGAGGGAGAAAGGAACGTGCCTTGTGTGTCTGAGGCACAGCAAGGCGCCTGGCCTGAATGTAGTTGAGCGTGTCTGCCCAAGGACTGGGAGGAATCAGGAAAAAAAAAAAGAGAGAGATCTTCAAATCCTCTGGAGAGCTGGGGCTCAAATGCCCCATGCGGAGTAGAGCGCTCGCTCTGCTGAGGTTCCAGCCCCTCAGCCTAGTCAGAGAACTGGCTCAAGACAGGGTGGGCCAGTCTTGGGCTGGTGTCACACCACTGTCCCGTAAACTCCACCCAAGCCTACACTCAAGGAAAGAGGCTGGAGCCATGGAATTCTTACCCACCTAATCCTAGTTCTTGTGGAATCAGGAGGGTGTCTCCCCAATAAATGCCCACCAGCCCCAGACAGCCCCCCAGAGGCCTGGGAGGAGTGCAGTGCTGTGAGCTTTTCCAGAATGGGCCCAGTGCCCTCGGCAGTAGGTTGTTATTCGGCTTGTGTCCTGGGCCCTTGTGCAGAGACGTCTAGAGCAGCAGAGGCTGAGCATCTCGTCTTTGGGTGGGAACTGTGTATGGTCTTCCCCCGCTCCAATCCCCACCCCTACCTTTGCCTGTTACCCCCCCCCCGGCGGTTGATAGCTCTGGGTTTTTAGGAATGCCCCTGCTCTGTCCCAGCGCCCTTCGAGGTGGGGCTGCTGGCTACTGGCCTCCCCTGCACGGAGCTCATGCCCCTTTCCTGCTGCCTCTGCCCCCTCCAGAACTCCATCCGCCACAACCTGTCCCTGCACAGCAAGTTCATCAAGGTTCACAACGAGGCTACCGGCAAGAGCTCTTGGTGGATGCTGAATCCTGAAGGAGGCAAGAGTGGCAAGGCTCCCCGCCGCCGGGCAGCCTCCATGGATAGCAGCAGCAAGCTGCTTCGGGGCCGCAGCAAGGCCCCCAAGAAGAAACCTGCCGTGCTGCCGGCTCCACCCGAAGGCGCCACTCCAACAAGCCCGGTGGGCCACTTTCCCAAGTGGCCAGGCAGCCCTTGCTCACGAAACCGCGAAGAGGCCGATGTGTGGACCACGTTCCGTCCACGAAGCAGTTCTAATGCCAGCACCATCAGCACTCGGCACTCCCCCATGAGGCCAGAGTCTGAGGTGCTGGCCGAGGAAGAGATGCCAGCCTCAGTCAGCAGCTACGCAGGGGGTGTCCCTCCCACCCTAAACGAAGATCTCGAGCTGTTAGATGGGCTCAATCTCACCTCGTCCCATTCCCTGCTCTCTCGGAGTAGTCTCTCTGGTTTCTCTTTGCAGCATCCTGGGGTCCCGGGTCCCTTACACACCTACAGCACCTCCCTCTTCAGCTCAGCAGAGGGGTCCCTGGCAGCAGGAGAAGGGTGCTTTGCTAGCCCCCAGTCTCTGGAGGCCCTGCTCACCTCTGATACGCCACCACCCCCTGCCGATGTGCTCATGACCCAGGTAGACCCCATTCTGTCCCAGGCTCCAACACTTCTGTTGCTGGGGGGGCTGCCTTCCTCCAGCAAGCTAGCCACAGGAGTCGGCCTCTGTCCCAAGCCGCTAGAGGCCCCGGGCCCCAGCAGTCTGGTCCCCACCCTTTCTATGATAGCACCACCTCCGGTCATGGCAGGGGCTCCCATCCCCAAGCCCCTGGGGGCTCCTGTGCTCACACCTGGTACTGAAGCTGCAAGCCAAGACCGAATGCCTCAGGATCTGGATCTTGACATGTATATGGAGAACCTGGAGTGTGACGTGGATAACATCATCAGCGACCTCATGGATGGGGGCGAGGGACTGGACTTCAACTTCGAGCCAGGTAGGACACCTCTTCGTCCACGGTAGCATCTCACAACTTACAGCCACTCCTAGGTGCCCAGCTAGTGCCATGATCTGAGCAAGAGGGAGCTTTCGAACTGGAGGCCAGGGAGGGGGGCGGTGGCTGGAGCCCCTGGGGAATGGAAGGGAGGGTGTCGTATTAGAGGGGCATAGCTCCCCGATGGGACCTCCAGGCCCCTCAGCAATGCCCGCCCCTAGTAGCAGCACAGGCAAGGTAGGGGGAAGGGCTGTCTCTGTTTTTTTGTGGGGTTTTTTTTTGGGGGGGGTGGACCTTAATGGTGGAAAGTTGTCATGCCCCAGATGAGCCTCTTACTTTTCCATTTCTTCTTCCCACAGATCCCTGAGCCATGGCTGGAAGCTTTGTCCCCTGCTTCAGCGGTGGAGCCAGGCATGCCCATATCCACTCTTTACCCTTGACCCCTCCCTGGGAATTCAGGACCCTGCTTTAGAGCTAGGGTGGGGTCTGCTCACACGGGGGCTTTGAGGAAATTCTAAAGATAAAGCTGCCCCATATGGGAACTGTGGAGGGAGGGAGGGAAAGGGGTGGGGGGAAAGGGAAAGGGTTTCTTCTCACTGTGCCAATTAGGGGGTGAGGCCCCCTCTTGGGAGCCATCCTTGGCTCCCTCCATTCCCGCCCCCTGGGTTTCAGAGCAGGGGTGGGCAATGCTGTTGGAAATGTGAAGTCACCAGTGGCCTTACCCCTGCCTTTGGGAGCAGGATCTTTTGTAGTCTTACCTGAGCTGGTCCGGGCTAGCTTGAGCCTGGGATTTTTATGCAGTGGCCCCCTAGGCCAGTGGGGTGGGGTGGGTAGGGTGGGGTAGTAGGGACCTGGAAGGGCCAAGGTCTGAGCGCTGGAGGGGCTCACCAGGCCAAATCACCCTTGGAAGGCTGCAGATAACAGAAAGGCTTTTTATAAACTTTTAAAGAAATATAAACACAAATATAGAGATTTTTAACAGTGGCAAGGTGCTAGTGATGGGGAGAATGCTTTTTTTTTTCTTTCTGAAGGCTTTGTCATAGTGACATGATGCAAACACTACAGACATTACTTGGGGAAACATGGGGGGGGGGGAGGAGAGAGAGAGCTCCAGGCCGCCAGAGAGCAGGGGGCAGGGGAGCAGCAGTGGAGAGTTGTACTGGACAAGGGGGAAAGCTCTGCTGTGGAGATGTCTGGAACAAGGTCTACGCCGACCTAGCTTACAGTTTCCCTATGGAAAAAGCTAAGCCAGGCCCCCTGGTTCACCTTGTGTCTGGGAGTGTGTGGTGTTGGGGGTGCAGCCACACTCTCGCATGACCCACTGCAGGTTAGCGCTATGGTGGGAGAGTGCACTGAAGGCCTGGAATTAGTTTGTGGCCTGCAAAGGGGTGGGAGGGGGTGGGGGAGAAGAGGAGGGAAGGATTTAGGGTGGTAAAGTTAGGCACAGAGACCTCCCTGTTCCAGGCCCCTGACAGCTGTCCCTGCCCTTCTTCCCCTTGCCTGACTACAGGGGTTATGTGGAAGTGTGTGTGGTGGCAAGCAGGGGGGAGGGGTGGAACAGGGCAGGGGGAGCTGGGGAGCTTGGCCGAGGGTCTGGGAAATGAGCGGGGATGGAGGGGAATGTGGATCAGGTTTACTAGCACCTGCCAGGGTGGCCATCTGGGGCTCCTTCCCCACCCCAGCCCCCAGAGCAGCCCCTCCCCCAGTCCCCTTTGCATTGTCCCCTCCCCCGCCCCTGCTGTGGGTTCCCATCATTTCCTGTGTCAGCGCCTGGCCTACCCAGATTGTATCATGTGCTAGATTGGAGTGGGGAAGTGTGTCAAATCAATAAATGAATAAATTCAATAAATGCCTATAACCAGCTCTGGTTTCTGCTGCCTTGCTGCTCCCCTCGGATAAGGGGTGGGGGAGGCAGAGGACTGGCGGGAGGACTACTCAGAGGCGGAGGAGAGGTGGGGGGCTGGGGGAATTTCAGCAGAGGGAGTTGGTGGATCATCGTGGTGCGGGGGGGAGGGAAGATGCCAATCCCTCACGGAACCCCAGCAGTAGTGGGCGGGCTGCGATAGGCCTCTCAAGGGGAGGTAATCTGGTTGGAGAAGACCCCACCCCCTACTCTGTCCCTCAAAGGCTCATTGTACCAGACTTCACAGTCTTGCCTCACTCCCACCCATGTGCTCACCCCAGCCCTCTCCTGCCACTCCTACCCACCCTCAGAGCCTCCATGGTGCCTGGGGCACACTTAAGCCTTGGTGCAGATATTGGGAGAAGGAGTCTTTCTTGAAGAAGGGACCTCACGTTGAATTCCAGTAATTTCATACCTCGTATTACTGCTCTCACTTGGGCACTTTATTTAGTTAGCAATGTTTATCCCTTCTACTGAAAAAGTCCGCTCTGGTCCTAAAGATCGGAGCCCTGTGAGTGGACCCCTCTTCATCTGATCGTCCCATTGATTTGGACTGGAAAAGGAAAGGATCCATAAGTAGATAAAGAGGCCCCTGCAGGGAAGCTTTCCACAAACTAGGGCCCGTGGCAGGCCAAGAGGGGTTGGAGGCAGGTCTTGGGCATGGATATTGGATTTGGAAAGGAAATTCATCCCGGGGGTGGGGGACAGGGGGCAGGAGCCTTGGGTTGGGTGGTAGGAAAGGGGGGTGCAGGGACAGACTACATTTGGGGAGTCTTACTGGGAGGTTCACAGAGGATTCAATTGCAATGACTTTCTTGGCCTCTTGGCTTCTAAGCAATTTCACTCGGCTCCTCTCCAGAAGGTCACACTGTGTGCACAAGGTGTCTGAGAACTAGGAAAAGGCACCCCTACCCCGACCTCTGAGGATTAGAGACCTTACCTACCCATCCCATCCGTCCCATCATTCCAGCAATCACTTGGAATAACTGGGCCCAAAGCGAGGCTGAGGAGTGATCTGAAGGTGCCTAAGTTTTGCTCTTTTCGGTGGGAATTGGGACACCGAGACTCCAAGAGAAAAGGATGAAGGGAAAGATGGAAACGATGGGGTGGTGATAGGGAGATTATATCAAGACAGTGCCCGAGAAATGGGGGTGAGGAGTAGGGGTGAGTGACACACGCCACTCCAGCCGGTTTGAGTGAAACACCCATCCTAAAGTGGACCTAGGCCGTAGTCCCCTTTTCCTAGGATCCTGCCTCATTACACAATTCTCACTCCATATAGAGAAAGTACTCTATCACCCGGCTAGGTACAGTCCTCTCCATGTTCCTCCTTCCTCCATCGTGCTCCTTACCAATTAGCTCGGGTTCTGGATTCTTCAGGAGAGGCACAAAAGCTCTGTAGGCATTCTCCAGTCGGGTTCCTGTGAACACAGCAGTGTGCTATCTCCAGCCCGTCACCCCGTCTCCCCCCTTCCAAAGCCCAAGATTTCAGGAACCTAACCCCCGATGCTACTGTGAGCTGATATGCCTGATTTCGTCCCCCTCAGGTCCAACCCTAGGATCAGGTGGGGGGAGCATAATATGCATAAACCTACCCTATTGTTGTAGAGGCGGTGCCCTTTCTTAGGCTGACTGGAGATGGTCAATTTGGACCTGGTCGAGGGTCAAGGTTCACAATCCATTTTGAGGGCCCTGCCCTATCTTTCAGGAATGCTCCCAAGCCTCTACCTGGTGCTCCATGCTCCACCTTATAAATATAGTAGGTGTTTCGAGCAGTAAGGAATTTGCTGGCATAGTCTCCAGGGGTCTTCGTCAGGAAAAGCAACTTCATTGTCCCCGTGTCGTCACACACATCGATGGTGTCTGGAAGGAAGCCAGGGGTTATTGGGGCAGCTAAGGAAGGAGAGTGGGAGCAAAAAGGGCAGTGATCCTATCCTGAAGGGATTGGAGGAAGCTGTTGGATTCAAAGAGCTCTCTTCTTGCCTGTCAGAGGGCTTGGAGGCTGGAAATGACCCCGCGGACTTCCAACCCTTGGCCTTTACTCCCCTCCCCCTAACTCCTCACCTGTTTTAGGCAACCCTACTTTATTGCGGGTGTAATGCGGCAACAGAAGGACAGAGCAATTGGTATCGACCAGAAACTGGTGATTATCTGAGAAGACATGGGATGGGGCATGTGGCCCTTCTGTAGGTATACCATCCCTGTGACCGCCCCCCCTCCCACTGCCCTCAAACCTCCCCAGCCCTACATACAGACTCCAGTTCTGTGATGCCCCTCACCTCCATGTTTGATGAAAATGAACATGCTCTCAAGATCTTCTCACTCTTCAGATGAAGGCCTGATGAGTCATTCGGAAGGAGAATGTTCTAGAGGTCCGGGGGGGGCGCAAGTGGGCCCATAGTGTTGGGGGTCTGGAGAGGTCAGTGGATCGCATAGGCTGAAGAGGCCCAGACAGGGCAGACGGGAGAGAGCTACCGGCAGTGGATAGCCAACATCCCTAGGGGTGGGGCCTGAAGCTGAAGTTGAGGGATTATGAGGTCAGAAGTGGTATATGCAGCAGAAGGAGGAGTCAGGATAAGGAGAGAAGAACCCGGGTGGGGTCTGTGAAAGATTTGCTGGGGATGGGGGCAACCCGGTAAATCTAATTCTCAAATGCATCCTGTGGGGCGCCTGCGTGGCTCAGTGGGTTAAGCCTCTGGCTCAGGTTGTGATCTCAGGGTCCTGGGATTGATCCCTGCACGTTGGGCTCCTCCACGTTAAGTGCAGAGTCTGCTTGTCCTCTCCCTCTGCTCCTCCCCGCCCAATAAATAAATAAAATCTTGTAAAAAATAAAATAAGGGGCACAGGGGTGGCTCAGTCAGTTGGGGGTCTGCCTTCGGCTGGGTCCTGATTCCGGGGGCCTGGGATCAAGCCCCGCGTCGGGCTCCCTGCTCAGCAGGGACCCTGCTTCTCCCTCTCCTTCTGCCATTCCCCCTGCTTGTGCTCTCTGGCTCTCTCTATCTCTCTGTCAAATAAATAAATAAAATCTTTTTTTTTTTTAAAGATTTTATTTATTTATTTGAGAGAGAGAATGAGAGACAGAGAGCATGAGAGGGAGGAGGGTGAGAAGGAGAAGCAGACTCTCTGCTGAGCAGGGAGCCCGATGTGGGACTCGATCCCGGGACTCCAGGATCATGACCTGAGCCGAAGGCAGTCGCTTAACCAACTGAGCCACCCAGGCGCCCAAATAAAATCTTTTTAAAAAATAAAATAAAATGCATGCTGGTAGGAGTGCAGGGCACCTAGAGAAAAGCCAAGTTTCTCGAACGCTGCTCTTCTCTAATTTGTGGTACTACTCCTTGCACATCATGAGTCTACTACTCCTTTTTCCTCCTGTCAGCACCATCCCTCGCACCCTCCTTGCACCCCACATTTCCCTTGCTCCCCGCCCCAACAACAGACATTCTTGACGATCATCAACAGAAGCTTTATTTCTCATTGCTTGGAGCATAATTGAAGGGTAGATGGAAGGAGGGAGGGACTGCGGGAGAAGGAATCCTGCGAGGAGGAAGAGGGGCTGGATCTGGAAAGATGAGCCGCGTGCTCAGGGCAAAGGGGCAATTGGACGATAGGAGATATTGAATGGGGGGAGGGAAGTTACAGGGGGCATAAAATTCAGAATCAGCCACAGGGGGGCGAGGTGAGCATGGGACCCAGGCTGGGTAGAGGGGAAGTTAGTACAACTTAGGACTACAGGGCTCTGGGGTTCTGTCAGGGTATCAGGGCTCCAGTTTCAGGTTTCAGGGTGTAGCATGGGGGAGCCCAGTAGGGGCTATGCTGGCTGCAGGGGGAGCCCCCAGGCGCCTCCCCTGGAGCCCCTCCTTTTGGGGGAATCTCACTGACGTGGCAGAGCCATTCACTGTAGTCTGGCTGCAAACTCTCGGCCAGGCCCTTAGACACTCCGCTCCAGGCCTAAAGACAGATATCTCCAGGTCAGGGGTCAATTAGGCACAGGGAGTAAAAGACCCGGGCTCTGTACCAAGGGAGCTCTTACAAGGTCTGCAGCGCCCTGTGATTACAGAAGGGACACACAGACTCCCGGCACCCCCCCTACCGCTGTTGCCATCTGCCCCACCCAATCTATATAATCAGTTCTTCAGTGTGTCACTCTCCATCTAGCCCAACCTCCCACTGGCCAGCCACATCCTGACAGTTAGTGCAGGCCCCCTCCCCTCCCCTCTGGCCCCCATACTCTGGCTGACTTTCGGGCAGAGGCAGTCAGTGGTTGACAAACTGCAGTCTGCCTGTGACAATGTTCTCACCGAAAAGTTCCCGTGGTATTCGGTGACCAGATCCTCGAGGTTCTTGAGGGTAGGAATGCGGGGCAACGTCCTGAACGGAGGAGAAAGAGGGAGCAGGAGCATGTTGGTTACGCTCGTCTAGTACCCTTCTCCCAGTTCTCCCAGTTCTCCCAGACGGAATGAAGGGATTCTGCGGTCTGTGTGCCTGCAGCTTCCTTCCGTCACCATGCCCCCCTTGAGTGATCCCTCGTTCCTTACTGTCCCGCTCTCTACTCCTGGAGACCCTGTGATAATCCTCCTCTACTATTTCTTCCCAGCCACCCCACCTCATTTTCCCGGGATATCTGAAATCTCACCGTTCCAGCCAGCAGTACACACAGATAAGGGTAATAATCAATCCTATGGAGCCAAGGGGGATAAGCACAGCTTCCAAAGCAAACCACAAAGGATTCTCTACTACAAAAAAAAAAAAAAAAAGAAGAAGAAGAAGAAGAAGAAAGAGAAAGTGACCTAACATCTATAGTGCCCCAACTTTGGTGCCAGGCACCGCGCTAGACACTTCCCATACCCTTAATCCTCACAACTCCTGAGAGTGGCGGGGGGTGGGGGGGACAATCATTATCTCCATCTTACAGATGAGGAAACAGAATCAAAGAGGTTAGCAATGTGCCCGCGGTCAAAGAGGCGGGGAGTAAGCAGCAGAGCCAGGTTTAAAACCCTACATCGGTCTGGTTCCAAAGCTATCTTTGCCATGCAGGCTTTCCGGAAATGCTGTAGGGGAATCTTAAACATTCTATCTCCCCTCTGCCTCCTTCTCGACCACCCCCCCCCCCGCCCACTCTAACAATATACTGACCTAACCCAACACAGAAAAGCCCTGCAACCTGGGGGTTGAGGTTGAACAGTGAGGGGAGATGGGCCACCAAGTCTGGGGGGCTTAGGGGTCGAGAGGTAGAGCAAAAGAGAGCAATGCTCGAAAGGGTTGGGGTGCCGGGCTCATGGGTCACGGTGAGGTCTTAGGCCCATTTTACCCTTGGAAGTATTGCTGCCCCAGTGGATAGGGTGGCTCCATTCACTCCAACGCTGAGCGCTTCCACAGAGTGGGTTATAGCGGCTCCGGACACGGAACGTGTAGAATTTCTGCCCATCCACGCTCGGCAGAGAGAAGCTATTTCGGTGGTCCACTGATTGTTCCTTGGGGAGAAAGAGAGTGAGGGAGAGATGGGTGTCTAAAGAAGAAGGGAGAATTAAAACCGCGGCCCCTCCCCTCCCCATCATCCAGTCCTTCCCAGCTCTTCCCTCCTCTCTTGACCACTCAAGCCACCCTGCTCCCTTCACCGACTAGAATCTAATGCCTCCTCACCAGATCCCCTGGAAGGCTCCCTTTTGTTTACTTGGCTATCAGGTATTGGGAAGAGTACGGGTAGGGAAACGTTAATGGAAAGTCCGCTGGTCATTATAGGCAAAGGAGCTGGATGAGGGGAGAGACAGAGCAGAGGAACCAGGAGGCAGAGAACAGGAGCTTGAGATCAGGCCCTCCTACTTGGCCAATTGAATCCTCTATCCCCATTTGCTTGGCCTTAGAGCTGCTACATTCATGACTCCGGTCACTCACAGTCCAGCTGCGGTCCCAGTCACTCCGGTACTGCACAAGGTGCTCCAAACAGTGGTCCAAGTGTCTGTTGCTCCAGCTCAGTTCTAGCTGCGATTCGCTCAGGTTTCGAAGGGTCAGGTTCTCTGGAGCCCAGGGGATCACTGGAGATATGTGTGTTTGTGTGTGTGTGTGGTCATTGCCCTGGCCTAGATGAATTAGGATCCTGAAGGTAGTGCCCCTAATCCCTCCGGCCCTTCCGATCCCGATTCCTCACCTCCTCCTTCCTGCCTAAGTACCCTCAAGGTGAAAGAACACCACTCCCTATACTCCAGTGCCCCACAATATATTCCAGGACTCTTGGCGCCCTCTCCAAATTACCCAGATTCTGCAGTTTTAGCATCTGTATGGACCGCCTCCTGGGCTCCCGCGGGTCCTGGAGCTGGACAACAAATGTTTCGTAGAGATGGATCTCCTCCTTTTGCAGCCAACAGCCCGCAGTGGTCTCTCCCGAGAATAGATAGTGGCCACACTCCTGGACTTTATCATCATTGGAGTTCTTGTACCTGGAGAAGGGTTGGGAGGAAGAGGAACGGAGGCATAAACTTGGGTACTACGGATACCACAGCCCAGCCCCATCTCCTCTGAACTGACTTACCCCATGAGAAAATGGTGGGGAGGCTCGGATGCTGGCTTACCCTCTTTCTTGGTCGAGCCCACCCCCCTCTTATGCCCTTGTGCTGTCCCCTCTTCCTTTTTCATACCAGTAGTGCAGAGTCAGGTTGGTGGGCTGGGGCTCAGAGCTGCTGTTCCAAGTGCAATTCATGTACTCAACATTGAACACAAAACACTGGACCTCTGGGAGGAGCGGGGTGGGAATGCTGAGGGTCCCAGGGGTTGTAGCGGTCAGGGAGAAATCTAGGTTGGAGAGAAGACGGGGGGGGAGGGGAAGACCAGAAATGATGGTCAGAAGAAGCAGCAGCAGGGGGCAGAGAACCCTTCCCCTTTTCCTTCTCCACAGTACTCTTCAGTTCTGCCCGCATCCTTCTAATGCTCCGTGGCAGGTTCGAGATTTCTGTATGGCCCCTTCCCACAGGCTCCCCTCTCACCAACCCCCTTCAGTCCCACGTTTCCCACCAGCTGCGATGTCTTCATTCCCACTGGGCATGGGGACGGTCAAGTTCAGCCCCACCCCCAGCAGAGGCAGCTGCAGGAATAAGAGGGATCTGAGTGGCAATGGTGGCTTCAACATGGCGCTTGCTCTTCGTTCCCTGGGTGTAGACTGTCAGGAACCTGGGCGCCTCACCCATTACCCCTCCCCACCCACGCACTTCCTTCTGTCATAGCTTCCGGTGGAAAGAACCTTAGAAGCCAGGGCTTTACAGAGGGTGTGGCAAATGTGTGCTATGACACAGGCTAAATCCTCCAGGAGA